GGGTCTTAATTGGGCTCAACATCTTGGCCCTAAAGCTAAAGTTCGATGACCCATTAGAAGCGACTCAACTGCACGGCGGGTGTGGTGCATGGGGATTGATATTTACTGGGCTGTTTGCAAAAGAGGAGTTTGTGATCCAAGCCTATAATTCCGGCACGGTGGGTACTGTACGGCCTTATGGTCTCTTGATGGGTGGCGGTTGGGGTCTGCTCGGAGCCCAAGTGACTGAGGTTTTGGTCATTGCGGGCTGGGTCAGCTTGACAATGGGCCCTCTTTTCTATGCGCTTGACAGTCTTCAGATTTTGAGGATCTCTGTTGATGAAGAAGTTGCAGGCCTTGATGTTTCCAGTCATGGAGGCCATGCCTACGTTCATTCAGACGAAAATCATCCACGCTTTTATGCAGAATATGTGAGCTTGCAAGACAATGGATCTTGATTCACCAAATTATATATACTCTGCTTCTTGGTATTGCAAATTTGCAAGTATTGCTTTCAAGTTATCATTACATTTCAAAAGGAAAGAACAAAACATATGCTGTTACGCTGAACCAGTTTTTCAAGTTACTCTTAAGGCAATCAAAACTATGGCGAAAGTGCATTTACATTTTAAAAGATTACGAATTACACAATACAATCAGGCTTTTTATCTACAAGTAGTTCCCAAAAGCTGTACATGAGTCTCACCGAACATGAGAATCATAGGGTAGAAATACAGGGTCTGGAACAACAAGAGGCAATCTTTCAACGTACATAAAAAGTCTCTTGCGGTCCTCTCTTAATATTGTGGATAAATCAATAACATCACATTTTTCAGTGTAGATCCAAAGGTCGCCTGAGTTGACTCTTTTGAGGCTATCACGGCAAAAGGGGCACGACTTAGACCGCCCACGCCTGAAACAAACAGCAGAATAACATCAAGTGCCATCCCATATTCAAAATTGGCAAAAACCTTTTTTAACAAGAAAAAAGAAAATACAAAAAAACAAGTGATGAAGCTTTTGAAATGCAAATGCCAGCTTTACTCAAAATATCATTCAATTAAGCAAGGTCTAAGTCATCGGCCATTTTAATCTTACAGCTGAGCCAAAAAGGGTAACCAAACAACTTAATGACAGAGAAGGTACAACGGTTTCTGAAAACAATGCTCTTTCCATATATGGGGATAAATGGGCACAGAGAAATGTAATCCACACCTATAAAATTGTTATGACCAAAAGCTTCCACAGAAAACATTAAGTAGAAATCTCTTGCACACAATAGAAAACATGATTTATACACAACAAAATATGTTGTGAAGAATAAGTTGAAAACTATAACGAAGACCAAAAAAGGGGGGGTGGGGGGTGTTGGTTCAAGCTTACCAGTCCCGGTAACATTTCAAACACAATGTATGACTGCAGTTAGGTAACACAACTTTTTTGTCCACCTCCATGCAAATTCCGCACTCTTTTTCTCTTTCGATGTCAATTTCAGAGAGTTTTCCCTTGTCCAACTCCTCCTTTCTTTTGTATCTGACAGTGCAAACCTCTTTCTGCTTCCTATCCTCTAAATCTGTGATGCCTCTTTGAAGTTGCAGCAAAGAAGGAAATATCACACCTGTTCATGAAAAGAAAAACACGTGAACACAAATTACATCCATAAATATCAATGAAGGAAAAAAATATATCCCTTGCCTCCCATCCTTTTCCCCCTCACAGCCTCCTAAGAAGATCAACTTTTAGTATTATGCATGTGCCTATAAATGTTAGTGCATTGGTAAAGTCCATCGGTAAAGTCCATCTTTACTTCATCACTCAACATAAAATTCTCTGATGCTGGCCTTCCTTTCATAAACTGACATGGTGGCCTTTCCATTGGGATACGTCTGCACAAATCCAACACATTGCCACACCCAAATAAGAAGTCATAATAAACTCACTACATTTTCTGAAAATGGAATCTAATATTAGGCACATATGATATGAATGAATTAAAAATGGTGAAACTGGATAATGAAATTACAAAGCGGCATACACAAAAAAAGTACAACACAGAAAGAAAAAATATATATGTGTGCTCTTTTGCTAACATATGTTTTTTTTTTTTTCTAATTAAAAATAGAGGAGGGAAGGGAGGAGGATAGAGTGGAAAAAGCTGAGCAAGAGAGAAATAAACAGCATGTGATAATCTAAAAACTAAAAACTATTTCAACTTTTTAAATTATCTTTCTCATCTATTATCTTTCGCTTGGCTTTCTCATCTCCTTCTCCTCTCTTGGCTCTATATCTCTAATTACAAAAACAGAAACGAGCATTGACATAACCTATAGAACTCAATTTTAAAAAAGAAAAAAGAAATATACCATATAAATAAGAATTCTGAGCAAACCA